GAATTGCAATGGCCTGACTTGATATGCTTTGAAACAGATTGCCCCGTGCATGTCAAGCGTGAGATCTCGTCGCATCGTTTGGCAGGTTTCTCGACGTCAGGCGGCTTTAGTGAAATTGTGTCCGGGAGTTCAGCACAGCCACAAGGATGAGAAAAAGTGTTGGGACCAGAGCTGAGGCTGTTGTCCATGAGCACAGACACACTTGCCCTCCAATGTTGAGTGGCGCACAGGCATGCAGTATGTGCATTCGGTGTTGTGGAATTGCAATGGCCTGACTTGATATGGATTGAAACAGCTTGCCCCGTGCATGTCAAGCGTGAGATCTCGTCGCATCGTTTGGCAGGTTTCTTGATGTCAGGCGGCTTTCGTGAAATTGTGTCCGGGAGTTCAGCACAGCCACAAGGATGAGAAAAAGTGTTGGCACCAGAGCTGAGGCTGTTGTCCATGAGCACAGACGCACTTGCCCTCCAATGTTGAGTGGCGCATCGACAGTTTGGCTTGTCACGCTGTCGACACTGCGCGTTTTGCGACAAGATTTCGTAAAGTCGTCGCAGCCTGCCCGCGTGCTCGAAAGCAGGCAACCGCGTTCAAGCATGTGCGGTTTAGAAATACGCGATTCAATGCACTCGTGATTGGAGGGTTTCATCGGCTTGGGGTTTGGGGTATCAGGCAAGGAGAGCTGAATGTTTAGGGTTTCAAGGTTTGGGGGTTGAGGGCTTTAGGGTTTTAGGGTTTTAGGGTTAAGGTTTTCTTACTATTTTTTTCTTTAGGGTTTTAGGTTTTGGATCAACAGTGGGCCAATGGGCCGGAGACAGAAGCAGGACGGCCCGGCGCGGGAAACCGGCTAGCTAGGGGCTTTGATGCTGAGTCGGGCCATGCAGGATGTTGGGATTCTGAAGCGCTCATGCTGTTTCGGGTATTGAGCTTGCCGCCACCCATTCTCGCTGCGACGATCTAGTTTCTTTATGTGAGCGGTCAATCGATTTAACCACCCACGCCGCTCCGTTTAGGGCTGGGTTGTTTGTTTTGGCAAAAGACACTCACTCCCCGAAGTACTAACTTACTTTGAGTATGCATCGTAGGGTCGGGTCCAGGATTGAGACTGTAGCCCCTTCCTGCTACTGTAGCGGTCGGCTAGGGTTTCGCTTTTTACAGAGAGAGGCAGCCGCCGTCCCTGCGAAACTCTTGCTGCACAAAGCGTGTCGGTGCCCGAATCCACTCGGTGAGTGCGCCAGTTCCTGGTGCCCGAATTCCGGCGCATTCTCTGCGCGAATCGTCAATGCGCAAGTCCGGTGACTCAGTGTGCATATCCCGGGTGCGCAAATCCAGGGGCCAGTGCGCGAATCCACGGCGTCCGAGGCGTTTGTGAAGTGCGCGAATCTGGTCTTTCCGGTGCGTGAATCGGTATTTCATGTGTGCAAACCCAGTGGTCACCGATAGGACAAAGACCTTGTTGACATGAATTCCTGGATGCCCGAGACCATGTTAGACGAGTCAGGTCCTTTGGCAGGTTCCTTGATGTCAGGCGGCTTTCGTGAAATTGTGTCCGGGAGTTCAGCACAGCCACAAGGATGAGAAAAAGTGTTGGCACCAGAGCTGAGGCTGTTGTCCATGAGCACAGACACACTTGCCCTCCAATGNNGGCGCATCGGCAGTTTGGCTTGGCACCGTTGGGACACCGTGTTACGTTGTGTTTTGCATATCCCGTTGCATATGCAGCATGTGCATTCGGTGTTGTGGAATTGCAATGGCCTGACTTGATATGATTTGAAACTGCTTGCCCCTTGAATGTCAAGCCTGAGATCTCGTCACATCGTTTGCCAGGTTTCTTGGTCAAGCGGCTTTCGTGAAATTGTGTCCGGGAGTTCAGCACAGCCACAAGGATGAGAAAAAGTGTTGGCACCAGAGCTGAGACACACTTGCCCTCCAATGTTGAGTGGTGCATCGGCAGTTTGGCTTGGCACGCTTGAAAACTGCTTGCCCCGCGCATGTCAAGCGTGAGATCTCGTCGCATCGTTTGGCAGGTTTCTTGACGTCAGGCGGCTTTCGTGAAATTGTGTCCGGGAGTTCAGCACAGCCACAAGGATGAGAAAAAGT